GCTGAGAGGGGTAATCCCACAGTTCTGTGGGCAGAACTGGAATTGCCTGCAGTGGTAACCACTCAGCAGAGCTGTGGCTGAGTGAGGCCTCTCAGCACGTAGCTTTTATTACAGTCTCAGCAGGCAGTGTTTGCTAAGCGTAAGAATCTCGTGCTGGGGGTTCCTATGGAAGGTGGGCAAAACACACAAACCTATAGATTTTTACTTTAATAACTTTTTATTGAACCACTTCACCACACTATACTGTGAGGGACCTAAACCACATATTCATAAATCATAGCTCTGACAAAGAGCAGCATGAGAAGACAAAGGGGAACAGACTGACAATGGCAAGTGAATAAACACAAACTCCAATAATGAAATGTTGGCTTGTATATACTGGCATTTAAAGTCCATTCCATGAAATGTAATAAAGTGAATGTTTGTGATATGAACACAAACCCCCAGAGAGATCCTCTATTAAAAAAATCATTACCTTCTTTCTGTATTGGTTTCTTTCTCTAAAGCCCAACTAAAATGCCCTAATGTGTTCTACAGCAGCTGCCAAATATTAATGTTAACAAAAGGAATTGCTTTGTACTCAGATGCTCTCAGATCATTGAGGCCAGCCATTCCCCAGCACTGCCAAGGCCACCACTAACCATGTCCCCAGGTGCTACACCTACACGGTTTTTAAATCCCTCCAGGGCTGCTGACTCCATCACTCCCTGGGCAGCTGTGCCAATGCATGAACACAGTGAAGAAATTTTCCCTAAGAGCCAATCTAAACCTTCCCTGGCACAACTTGAAGCCATGTCCTCTTGTCCTGTCCCTTGTTCCCTGGGAGCAGACCCTGACCCCACCTGGCTACACCTCCTGTCAGGGAGTTGGAGAGAGTGAGAAGGTTCCCCTTGAGCCTCCTGTTCTCCAGGCTGAGCCCCCACAGCTCCTTTAGCTGCTCCTCATCAGATTTGTGCTACAAAGCCTTCCCCAGAAAGGCCTTTTCCAACCTGAATGATTCCAAGATTACAGCAGACAGCTGCTCTCAAGGATTGCTTTCAATAGCTGCAGCTTTTGTTACCACTTGGCTGCTTTGATGTTGCTCTGGACTTGTTCTAAGTTACACCTCTGTGTAGTGGAATGGTTTTCGTTGACCTGGCCTGACCAACAACTTGTTGTCTTGAAAAGTGTCAGCTCTGTCTATTTTCATTTATTGCTGATTTTGACAACTTCAAGAATCACAGAATATCCAGACATGGAAGGGACCCAGGAGGATCATAGAGTCCAACTCTTGGTCCTGCACAGGACATTCACCAGCATCACACCATGTGCCTGAAGAAGGAAGGGAGGGACAGAAGGTAGTAGGGGAAGGAGGGGTTTTGTTTCAGATATTAAGATATATTCATAGCTTCATAGAATGTTAAGGGGTTGGAATGGACCTCAGAGATCATCCAGCCCCAACCCCCTGCCCTGGGCAGGGACACCTCCCACCAGAACAGGTTGCTCAAGGCTTTAGCCAGCCTGGTTGTGAACACTGCCAGGACTGGAGCAGTTCCAGCCTCTCTGGGCACTCTGTTCTTCAGAGGAGTCAGGATGACCCACTGCACAATCCCAAGTCTTTCCTGTCTGTCAGGTGTTGTCTAACACAAGCTAGAGGCACCACTGGTCAGAGTGGAGATTTTCACATCTGGAGAAGCAGAGAGCACAGAGCAGCTGCTGTGTTACTAGTGCACAGAGGTAACCCCCAATAACTTGACAGACACCAAGGGAAAACTAGCCTTTCCCACAAAGGACTGGTGTGTAACACATAAACTGCAGGTGAGAGTGAAGCCACAGGTAAGCACCACACAGAGCTCTATTTTGCTTAAGGCTTTGGCCTTGCACAGGCTCTACAGGGAACAGGAGGGGGTTTGAGTGGCAGCCTACCCTTTGCAAGGGCTTCCAGGCTTATGGTTCCTGTGCTGAGAGCTGTTTCACCTCCCACCAACCACATCTGCCCTATAGCTCCGAGGGAGCTTGGCACAGGAGAGAGTTACCCCTGACGCTGACTGTTCCACCACAGTGCCAGTTTGTCTGTGCTCTTGGCAGAATGGGAATGCACTGAGGAGAACACTGACTGGCTTTTTGAGATAATTCTGCCTTGCAGTGATGTTCTGGTCTGCAGTAACCTTGCCTTAAGCTGCAGCTTCTGGAATCTTTGTCTCTTTAAGCCTTTGTGGACAGATGCTTGTGAAGGTTGACATAAGGAAACAGGATGGAGAGTGAGCAGCATCAGGCAATGCCCTAACTTGAGATGCTTCCAAGAGATGCAAATGCTTGTAACCCAGAGGAATATGCTGTGCAGAGTCACCCTAGCTGGCACAGGGACCAAAACCAGCCCGGCATGAAGAATTTTATTTAATTTATTTATTATGAATCTATGATTTTGGGGATTAATTTATCCAGTAAAACACGAAGGAGCTGCACTGCAAAGGAGAGCTAAAACAGGCTAACACAGTCTACTTGCAGCCTCTTCTGGGGCTAATACATACAGGTCTAAGCCTTTAGTACAGCCAAACATCCCCTGCTTCCTTCTCTACCTCTACCCATGCTTTTCCCCTGCACTCCTGTGCCTGCTTCCCCGCAGCACAAGCAGGAGCTGGTCCTGCTGCAGCAGCCACCAGTCTGAGCTCCCAGGGTTATTTTTCATTTTCAGGAGGATGAAGGGCTCAGGGCAGGAATCCTGTTGTTTCAGAGCATGTGGTTTACATTAACATTTCCAAGAGGTATTTGTATTTGCAAACACTACCATCTGCTGAAAGGAATACTTTGCATTTTTACAAGGTTAATTTCATTTCAAACCCACTGATTGAATTGGTAGCAGAAACCACTCTCATTTGCTTACAGTAGTTAGTGTCCCAACACAGCCAGCCACAAGCCATGTCTTTACAAGGAAAGACTGTTCAGTCCTGGTATTTGGTACAGGTTTTCTCCAAATTCTCACTGAAATAACTTTTCTAATTGCTAATGCATAAAAGCTATTTCAAATTACAGCCTGTTGTTACACTTGTGATCAGCCAATGGACTTCTTGTTAATATGAGGTGAGTGTTAAATCTGTAATGCATAATTTGATGCATTTTCTTTCTTTGTCCTTACTCTTTTCAGATACTTGTCTCAAACCCTGCAGTTTTCCTCAAAGTTCCTGTAGTTGGAAATTCTTTTAAATTGTTTTTTACTCACTTGGCAGTTCACCAAGAGAATTCAATATTGAACAGCAAACTGCTTTGGTTGGGCACAAAAGTCTGTGCTATGTCTTGCTTTCTTCATCAGATTAGTGCAAATGATTGCAAACAAGAAATCCATATTTTGGAGCTAATTTTGGGGGCTCATCCCTGCTAATAAGCTAAATGAACAGGAGAGTTATGAATCTCTCCAGGCAGGATCAGACCATGCAGATGGCTCTCACCACTGCTGTGTGACCAAGTCTTCCCATTATTCCTGAATTTATCCAGCTTGAGGCATATGCCAACTTGCAGTGTCTTGTTTTAAATATAGAGATTGTTTCCCTCCCCCTTTCCCCAAGGAGACAATAAGTTTTGGCTTTATACTATTGGTTTGGATTTTCCCAGAGATGTCCCAACATCTTTTTTCACTGCAGTACACAATCCCCAGCTCTAAAGT